TCCTACTCTTTCCAGGAGCTGAGCGCCTTTCCCAGGGAGGTGGGGGGCTCGGGCACAGGGCTGCATCCGGTCGTGTACCCCTGCACAGCCCTGCTGCTGCTCTGCCTCTTCTCCACCATCATCACCTACATCCTCAACCACAGGTGAGAGCTCTTGCGGGAAGGGAGGGTGTGGCGGGAAGGCTGGGGCAGGGATGGTCTCACTAAGCACTGGCAGGTGTTCCTTTGCCAGATGGGGCCACATCACTTTCCCAGGCTCTTGCCCAGAATTTTATTTGAAGGTTCTGGGGTTGGACAGCACATTTTGTGGGTTAAGGCCATCCTGCCCTGGGGCCTCTATCACATTCACACACATGCACGCACACAGACACCTGCACCCTCTCTCTGGCCCTCCCAATGGCCTTGAGACTCCATGAGCCTGACCTTGGGCAAGGTGGCCCATTAATTACTATTTCTGGGGCAGCTCCATCCACGTGTCCAGGAAGGGCTGGCACATGCTGCTGAACCTGTGCTTCCACATGGCCATGACCTCCGCCGTCTTTGCAGGAGGCATCACCCTCACCAACTACCAGATGGTCTGCCAGGCGGTAAGAGGAGAGGGGACTGGAGTGGTGGCTGGGGGAGCTCCAAGATCAGTGATGGCAGCCTAGGCAGTAGGGAGGTGTGGGGGAAGGGAACAGGGGCTCACACCAGCAGGCCCCAGCTCCATCGTTCTGTGTCCAGTCTTACTTGTAGGGGGAGGGGAGCATGAGAGGGTAAGAAGCAGAGAAACTAGGAGGTGGGACTTCAAAGTGGGGACCTGCCATGGAAGAGAGGCCGAGGACAAACCAGACAGCAATGACAAGGCCATGGAGAGTCACCGGAGTGGGGGGGACATCTGGGGTGGAAGTAGAAGTTAATAGCAGGGACAGAACCTGGGGGAGGATTTGGGTGGAGTTGGAGCCTGGGACTGTGGGAGGAGGGGGGCACCCTGCGGGGCTGAGGCTCTGGCCTGGCGCCAGCGGTAGCAGTCCCAGCCTCAGCACCTCGATTCCACAGGTGGGCATCACCCTGCACTACTCTTCACTGTCCACACTGCTCTGGATGGGTGTGAAGGCCCGCGTCCTTCACAAGGAGCTCACCTGGAGGGCGCCCCCTCCACAGGAAGGGGACTCTGCCCCATCTGCTCCCCGCCCCATGCTCCGGTACATGCTTCCAGATGTCAGCTTTGCAGTGGGAAAGGACTCAGAGGGTGGTTAAGACACCAAATCGATTCTCTCTGGGTGGATGCAGGGTGGGTCCAAGGTCCCAGCAAACCAAGCTCCAAAGACAAGAGAGGCAAGGCACTAGGTTGCACCAGGTTGCTGAAGGTCATGTGGCGGGTGTGTCCTTAGGGCTTTTGAGGCATGACAGGCCAGGGAAGGAAGTAACTACAATGCCAGGGAAGGGCACTGGGCAGGGATCCCAGGAACCTGAGTGGCACCTTATGACCTCTACGCTTAGGGTGAGAGAGAGCAGTTTGGCCTCTGGCCCTGAGAATAGTCTGGGCCACGTCCCCTAGGGATCTACCAAGCCTGCATCCCTGGGGGGGAAATCTGATAGAATTTAAAGGGGAAAGGAGATGGGACAGAGACCCTGGGTCAAGGGCTTTGAGCATCTGGCTCCCCTCCCTTGTTCCCTATCTCTCTGACGCCCCAACCCATTCCTCTCCAGGTTCTATCTAATCGCTGGAGGGATCCCACTCATCATCTGCGGCATCACGGCTGCTGTCAACATCCACAACTACCGGGACCACAGCCCCTAGTGAGCACGCTGCCTGCCTGCCTGCCCGCCCGCCTGCCCCAAACCCACCCGCCCCGGCACCAGCTGCCTTCTACTCCACTGGCAGGGACGCCTGCTGGGCCCACCCAGCCAGTGATCCCACCCAGGCCCCTGCATGTTGACTAAGTCAGTCTCTGCCTGTCAACTCACTGCATCCTCTGTGTCCCCAACCACCCAGTCTATGGGCCCAGCCTCAGACATGCGCCCCTTCCTCAACCGCTGCCTGTGTCTCCCCTCAGCTGCTGGCTGGTGTGGCGTCCAAGCCTAGGAGCCTTCTACATCCCCGTGGCTTTGATTCTGCTGATCACCTGGATCTATTTCCTGTGTGCAGGGCTGCGTTTGAGGGGTCCTCTGGCACAGAGCTCAAAGGGGGGCACAAGCAGGGTCTCCCTGGACCCAGGGGAGGAGCTGAGAGGTTCCACCAGGCTCAGGAGCAGCGGCCCCTTCCTGAGTGACTCGGGTTCCCTTCTGGGTACCGGGAGCGTGGGGGCGGTGACGCCTGGACCCCCAGAGGATATTGATGGCCTCTATTCTCCGGGAGTCCAGCTGGGGGCGCTGGTGACCACGCATTTCCTGTACCTGGCTATGTGGGCCTGCGGGGCTCTGGCGGTGTCCCAGCGCTGGCTGCCCCGGGTGGTGTGCAGCTGTCTGTATGGAGTGGCGGCCTCGGCCCTGGGCCTCTTCGTCTTCACCCACCACTGTGCCAGGCGCAGGGACGTTAGGGCCTCCTGGCGCGCCTGCTGCCCCCCTGCCTCGCCCTCGCGCGCCTCTCCCACAGCCGTGCCTGCTTCCATCCCAGACGATGGTTCCCCGGTGTTTGGAGAGGGACCCGCCTCCCTTAAGTCATCCCCGAGTGGCAGCAGCGGGGGCCATGCGCCAGCCTTGGGCCCCTGCAAGCTCACCAACCTGCAGTTGGCCCAGAATCAGGTGTGCGAGGCAGCAGTGGTGGCCCGTGGGGAAGGGGAGCCAGAGCCCGTGGGCTCCCGAGGGAGCCTCGCCCCCCGCCACCCCAACAACCTGCCCCACGGGCGCCGAGCGCACAAGAGTCGGGCCAAGGGGCACCGCACGGGGGAGGCGGGAGGCAAGAACCGGCTCAAGGCACTGCGCCGGGGCGCCGCGGCCGGGGCGCCGGAGCTACTGTCCAGCGAGAGTGGCAGCCTGCACAACAGCCCATCCGACAGCTTCCCGGGCAGCAGCCGCAATAGCCCTGGCGCCCGCCTCCAGCTGGAAGGCGAGCCCACGCTCACACTGTCGGAGGGCAGCGACACGAGCGCCGCGCCGCTCCCAGAGGTCGGCCGGCCTGGCCAGCGCCGCAGCGCCAGTCGCGACAACCTCAAGGGTGTGCTGGAGAAGGAGAGCAAGCGCCGCTCCTACCCGCTCAACACCGCCAGTCTGAATGGCGCCCCCAAAGGCGGCAAGTACGACGACATCACCATGGCCTCTGGCGCCGAGGCGGCCGGGGGCGGCTGCATGAAGACCGGCCTCTGGAAGAGCGAGACCACGGTCTAGGGTGGGTCAGGTGACACTTTAGGACATGCTAGCCACATGGGTTCATTAGCCCGCCTTCTTGGGAGGCCTCAAAGACGTCTGTCGGTACGTCAACAGGTTTGAGGTGGAAGTGCCCAGGGCTGCACCCAGGCTCGCCAGCTTTGGTTCTGGATGTTGGGGGAAGGAATCGGCAGAAGCCTGCCACCGCCGAGGGCCATGCCTCTGGCGTAGCGACAGACAATCCCAGAGCCACAGGCAGGATAATCTCCGTCCCTGCCCAGGCTAGTTTGGGCAATTTCCCGAGCCGTCCAGGGTAGGGGAGGGCCTGTCAGCCTGGAGTGATGAACCGTGGACCAGCACAGCACAGGCTCCTCCAAAGGTGCTCCTGCATCTCGTCCACCTGCCTCACCAGCAGTCGCCGGCCTTACTAGGAAAACAGACGGGAGCATGAGAACAGTGTTCTCTCCCTGCACTCTTCTGAAGTCAGCCTTCCATGCGTCAATTCTAGGGTCTCTCCCTCACCCAGGTTTTGGCTAAGGTGCCAGCTTTAGCAGATGAGCCAAGTGACCAGGACCAACTGGAGGTGACAAGGTGCTGCTTTTCAGATTAACTATGCAAGAGGAGAAGGTGGGACAGTATGAAAGGCAGCTTGGGAGATCAAGAGGGTGGGGGGAGGGGCAGGTGCACGCTTAGGGAGGTATGAGTGGTACACATACCTTACAGCAGGACTCCAAGGTGGCACTTGAAGACAAAGCTAAGGGCCACCTAAAAGGTTGGGAGTAGTGCTTTGCTAAGGGGCTGACGTGAGTCATGCCTCACACCTAGTCCTATAAGCAATGCACTGAAGAGGGGCTCCAGGACAGGACCGCAAGACTTATCGGAGAAGCACTTTCTGTTCAAACACAAGCCCATGCCCCCAGTCTCAGCCTCCCAACACCAAGGCACTAAAAAGAGAAGTACTTCCCTGCCTCCACGAGGCCACGTGAAGCCCCATCCCAATCATCTGACCTCTAGCTCCGTTAGGGGGAAGCCTCCAAAATATCAAACCAGCTTCCCACTGCACAGAAGCCCAGGCCGAATCCTTCCAGGTGGCAGGCACAGTCCTGATGGCTCCCTGAGCCCTGCGCCTCCACTTTTAAACACCAGCACTCCTATTTCCCCCAACTTGAAAAGCAACCACCAGCCTTTTACTACAGGACCCAGTGAAAGTGGGGGGAGCCTGGGGCCTTGTAAACAGCATCATGAGAACATGACCTGGTCCAGGTCCCCTTGCAGTCTCTAGATCTCCCCAGCCTGATCTGATCACCAAGGTGAACCAAGACAGGGGAGGAAAAGAAACCCACATGCCCTGGGATGGATCCTGTTATTTATGCTTGCTGCACAGACGATATTAGACAGGAAAAAAAAAGCTTTGTATTATTCTTCCACATACGCTGGCTGCTGTTTACATACCCTGCCAATGCCTTAGCACTGGAGAGCTTTTTGCAATACGCTGGGGAGAGGGGAGGGAGGGGATGAGAAGTGCCAAAGAAAACATGTTTTTAAAAGCTCGGGTTTTATACAATAGAATGTTTTCTAGCAGATGCCTCTTGTTTTAATATATTAAAATTTTGCAAAGCCCTTTGAGCTATAGCCTTAGTCCACCCACGGTCCTTTTGTTATGAGGTAGAGGATCTCCTGATACCATACCCACTAACCCACCAACACTGGGGAAAGGACACAGGGCCACGAGTTGCCCAGTCCCTGCCCTGAGGGCGGACAATGGAAATGCCAACTGCTCCACGCCAGTCGGGAGGCCCGTCAGCCCTGCAGCAGCAGCATATCCAGTTCAAATCGGGAGCAGGACAGAGCCTGCCGTTCTCCCAACAGTCCAAGAGGAAAGCCTTCCCACAGAGTATGAACATACACACTCAAGAACGGGACTCTCCCCAGCCCAGGTGTCCCTACATTCCTTCTGACTTCTACTCCAGGACCTGGGCTCCAATGAGCTGCAGAGCCCCTCTTGGTTCCTTCAAACAGGAAAGACAACACATAAGGACTTGTACACTCTTATTTCTCTCCATATGACAGCCTTTTATCAAGCTGCTGTCAGAATGGGGTGAAGTGTTCCTCTCAACCCCCAAAGTGCATCAAGGAGGGTTAGGATTACTTGTGGCAGCTTGGGCTCTCTGGAAGTCCCGCACTTCCTGAGGGGTACGCAAGTACTGCTCTATCTCACTATCAGAAATGCTCTCATCTCCAGTGACCGTGGAGGCAGGTGGGGCAGGGCAAACCCTCTTTGGGGGCTTCAACATGCAGGGTGGGAGGAGAAGGGCAGGACTAGCTGGTCGCTTCCCCGCTGGCAAATCTACAGGACTACTGCCCACTTCCCCTTTCCCTTGCCCCTGTCCCCATCCCTGCAGCTCCTTCTCCCGAGCCTCCACCTCTGCTGGTCCTTCCCGAAAGGCTTTGCGGATCAAAGTGTGGCGGTGCTGGAGCAGGTCACCAATGTGCTTCACCACAGACCGTTTGTCAAGTTTCAGAACCTGCAACCAGGCCAGCTGCTCCGCCATCCGCAGCAGCACAGCCAGCAGCTCCTGTAAGCGGGAGGGAGCAGGGTAGGGCAGGTCCACATTTGCCAACTTGCAAAATCGGGCCAGGGAACATGTCAGACGAGCTGCAGGCTGCAGTGACTGCCAAGCCAAGAAAGCAGCAGCAGTGATGACAGGCAAGGGATGCCGCCCAGTCACCAGCCACGTCTCATCTGCCAGCTCCACCAACTGCCGTGTTCGGGACAGCATCTTCTCTTTGTCTTCCACGTACTTGGCGGGCACAGATGGGGAGGCTTGGAACAGTTTGAAGCTGAAATAACCAACATAAGGGTCTGGTCTCAGTGCCTATGGGGAGGCTGTTCTTCCAAAGTGAGGAAGAACAGTCTGCTCAAGAGGGACAAGCCCTTCTGGCCTCTGTGGAACACTCAAGCTTGCTGGGCAGCAAGCTTCATACAGGCACTGAGAGTAGACTGAGTGAGTCCTGCTTGTGAGGTCAAGGGCAGGAGAATGCAGAAGGGAGCTAACATTTGTTGAGCAACCCCTGTCAGCCTCTGAGTGCTCTAAAGATGCTCTTTTGCCTTCTCTACACCTTGTTATATGCATTTATAGTTGAAAACTTGCCCACAGTCACCCAGCTAGGAAGAAACCAAGCTTCAAACCCAAGACTATTTTGATCCTGACAGCCTTTCCTTTCTACTACATCTGTCAGAAAAAAAGTGAAAGAATACAACTGCTAAACAAAACAAAACAAAACAAAAACAGAATTAACTTCTAACTGTAGCTCTGTTCTCTACTGATATTACTTCATATTCTTTCAGCTCCACTCACAGCTGACCCCACTGAGGCAGGGGTGTTGCCTACAGCCACGCAGGCCACACACGAGTGGTGCAACTCAAGGGCCCTGTGCCAAGGCCAGTCTGTACTTTCCTACATCATTAGGTTGCTGTGAGGACAAAGGATTTTGAAAATTATAGCCTTCTAGAAAAGTACAATAGATTAACCTTGGTAGTACTAGGCACAAGAGAGGGAGGACAGATTTTTCTCCTGCATCCTTTTAGATGGGCTTTAGTCAAAAAGAGACAGCAGAAGGTAAAAGGATTCACGTCTAAGGACCCATCCCATCCCCACATCTCCCACTAAGCAGGTACCTGCTACAGTAGGTCTTCACCAGGTCTGTCAAGCACAGAGACGGCACATCCAGCCCCAGAAGCTTCACTATCTGCATGTAGGTGCCAGAAAACATATCCAAATCTGCATACAGCAGGGTGCAGATGGTCCCCATGGTTAGGGGCCAGTTATGCTGCCGGCAGGTGATTAAGACACAGCACCCAACCAACACCTCCTTCTTTTGCATCCTGGCAGCACGGATGCCAGAGTGCTGGTATGCTTGTTGGTAGTAAGCAACTGCTGTGTCCTCAAATGTGGATGGCAACTGCAGAACCCGACAGAGGTCCCTCACTCGGCGGAGACCTAGGAAAGCCCACAGCAAGAGTAAGAGGGGTCAAAGGAGCTACTGTGCAGCTCCTATCAATTTCTGCTAACCTGACCTCTGATGTGCGATACACAAGTAACACAGTACCTTCCTACGATAACACGAACACCACCTAGTAGATCACTCTAAAGGCACAACGAAATTCATGGGAAGAAGTCACGTTTCAGCCCCCCAAATCCAAGAGGCTGGCTTAATTCAGGGTCAAGGCAAATTTTGATCTAGACTCCTTGAGTCTACCTCAAACAAAGCCCTGAGCAAACCCGAAACTTACACTGCCTCTCCTAGAACCATCCCCATCCTTTATGTCTAATCACCACTCTCTTCTGTTCTTACCTCGCATGGTAACATTGAAATCAGGGAAAGCAAGCACATGGGCAGGAACATCAGGCAAATGTGCTTTAAAGCCACTGTGTCGTAAAAGGTTGATTCTTACCTTGTTGCTGACTGCGACTAACTTGTTCATTTTCCCCTGTGCTTCGGGAATATGTTACTTCTGGGGAAAAAAAAGAGGGGGTTGGGGCAGGGGACAACAAATAGCTTGTTTAGCCTTTATCCACCAGATCCCTGCGCTCCCACTACACAATACCAGGGAGCAGAATTCAGATCATTCGGTATCTGCTTGCTGTCTCACAGAAGGTGCCCATCTACGCATAGTAAAGGTCCACCTGGTTGACTGTGCCCACAAGCACTACCAAACTCGCAGAGACTGAGGATGATTAGGACTGTACTGAAGTTCTAGGAGTTCCAAGTTTTTGTAAACGTCAGTTCGAATTTGCACCCTCCCACACATCCAATCCGGGCAATTTTCCTGGCTGCAGATCTTGAGGGCTGCGCTAATCAGGGACTGGGCAAGCAAACTTAAAGGGAAAAAAAAATATGCTTTCCCAATTAGTACTAAAAACTACTTCAGGGCAATAGCATGTGCTGTATTTGTAGAGCTGAGCCACAATATTTCCATCACGACCAGACTGAATAAATTGAGCGGAACTTTGTTTCTCTTTGTTTTATTTATTGAGCTTTTTAATATTTACTATACGTGCCCGTTATTTTACTAGATGCTAGGAAGACACGCGTGAACGGTAGTCCCTAACCTTCTGCAACTCACTCATTCACTTTAGGTTGTTTTCTCACGTATTTTAAGTGTGTACGTGACAAGGAGTGGGCAGGAGATAAATCTGATTTCATCCCCTCCACTGCCCAGAGCCCTAGAAAAGACAGCACAGGTACCTCGGAGGTTGCCCTCGTCGCTGAAGGTGGTAGTGAGAACTCCCTCGGTCACCACGCAGCCGCAGGCAGAGCACACCAGCTGGCTCTGCGAATAGTGCGCGTCGTCCACTAGGTCTGCGGAACCGCAGTCGGGGCAGCGGCCTCCGCCTGGCATCTCGCAGCCTGCCCAGCGCCGCAAAAGCTTTCACCTCCCCAGCCCAACGTCTCCAACAGCAACTGTGCGGAAGCAGAAACTAAGAGGGGAACCTTTTAAGTATTGCACCTTGTTTTTCCGGACAGCACAGGTTCTCTCTACTCTGGGACGGCACGCTACTTCCGGTCCGTTCCTTTGAAGACTCGGGTGAAAACGTAAGCTGGGAGAGGAGGTTCCTGGTCTGGACTATGTCTTTGGGTTCCCAGTTATCTTCAGGTGGTTTGAGCCGGGTCAGACTGGGGTTTGAATTTGGGTGAATGTTCTGCCTACATGGACCCACATAACAGACAAGAAATTGTTGCTGTCCCCAAACAACTCTTTTTTTCTAAGACGCTGGGGGAATCTGAGATTCTCCATTTCTAATGGGTGATGAATGTTGATTTTGACCATGGAACAAAGTACGGTAAGTCCCTAAAAGGGAGAGTAGTGTAGTGAGAGTAGGAAATTGCGTTCTACTTTCCAGAGCGGCTTCCCCAAGCAATTTGTTGCCCCTCTTTGCAGTTTGTTTTTTCTCAGCTGTAGAAAGAGGAAATAATATTAAAATCCAGGGTGGCGAACTCAAAGGTTTTCAGAGGCTAGGCAAGCAATGAGTCAGGGAGTTGGAATGAAAGAATATGGAGTGGTGTAGCCTGTGGCAAAATGAAGGGTTCAAGCAGATGTAGTTGTTTTTAAAAGCTTGAGCTTTAAGGTGCTCCAAAATCCTGGCTCCAAAATTCCTTGGTATAGTATAAACCAGTGGTTTTTAACCTTTTTCATCTCATAGCACACATAAATGAATTATTAAAACTGCACAGCACACTAGGAAATATATTTTTGCCGACCCAACAAAAAATAGGTATAATTTTGATTCATTCACACTGGATGGCTATTGTTGTGTTGGCTGTTGTCTTATTTGACAGTCTAAGGGAAAAGAGGTCAGCAGCCCTAACTAAATAGTCAGGTGTTGCATGTTTTAAAAATTATCGTAGCACGCTGTTTGAAAATTGCTACTATAGATCAAAGAATCTTAAGCAAACTGGATACTGTTACAACAACCAAGCTTAAAAATTATGTCATGTTTGAGTATAAATCAAGTCATCAAAAAGAGTTAATTTTTTTAGAAGTAAATCTGTATTGCACTCTAATAATAAATATGTTAATGCTTGGGAGTTTTAGAATCAATTGTGTCTGAAAAATAAGGAAGTTGAGTTAAATGAAAAGTACAGCCAGAGGCCTGTCCTAATGACTCCAAGAAAGCAGATGGGAGTCATTACAGCAAGTGTGGAACATTTCTGTTTCTCAGTCTAATAATGGAGAATTTCAGGGAGGCCTCTAGCATTAGTAGATTGTAGAAGATGTTCTGGGTGAGATTTCCATCTTCATTGGGAGTTGGGGGTACAGAACGAGTTCATCCCTTCCTGTTGAGAACAGAAAACCATTGAGCAGCACTTATGCAGAGTGAATCGAAAGGTGAGGGTGTCTTGTGAGCCCCTTAACAAATGGGATTACACACTCCCATGAGGAATGAGATACAGGTTACAGCTGATTTCTTTAGAAGATCAGTAAATTATCATGCATCCTAGAGCTGAAAAAAATGCTAAAGAAAAATGGTGCTTATTCATCTGAGGTGTCAAGGCCATGCATCCAGTTAATCCTCAAACAGCATACGAGTCCTCAAGACATCTCATCAGACAGCTATAGGTTCTTTGAAAAAAAGCTATAATCAGTGGTTAGTCAGATACAGAAGGCTCCATCAGTGCCTGATGAGGCTGTGAATTCCCTAGACCACAATGAGGAACAAGAACTTACATGACAAAAAAAGATACCATGTTGTCTATAATCCATGCATCAGCCTTGGGCATTTCAAATCCCCTCTCTTATAGACTCCCCCACTAGTGTGATGTATGTGATGAGGATTTATTCCTGGCTGTCCAGCAGATAAACATTGAGATGTACTTGCATTCTGGTGTGCACACACACTTCAGGATTTCTGAGTCAGTTTTAGGCGGTACAGTCAACGTTCTTACTGAGGAAGCAAACATGTCCCGAAAAACAACATAATCGGCAATGAGAATAGCTCTTTACATTACCAGACAAGAACAGCATATGATTCCTCTCATCCTTAGTTTTGTACAGATCTTGAACATAACTGCATTTTTTTAAGGGTGGGATTTTATTAGTCATCTACACATGACAGAAGTCTTAAAATTCTGCTTTCTCCCACATGACTTAGAGTGAAGTGGAAGAGTAATTTTATGATCCACCAACCAGCACCTGTCGCGGGGGAGGGGTGATTTTCCTTCCCATCCACAAGTGTGTGATAGCATAAAAGGGCCTTGCCCTTAGACAGGCTGGGCGGCGAGCAGGACCCAGGCCAGAAGGTGGCGCACTCCACCAAGATGTGTAAGTCCAGGATTCTCCACTTTCCCAAGAAGAAATTGATTTATTTAGAAAATTGATTTGCCTTCCTCTGGAAAACCAGGATAGATACATCACCCCCAGTGCCCTTCCCATTGCTACAGACACTTCTAAGAGTTACCATCATTCAACGATAGAGATGATCTGTTTAACAAATGCTCCTTCAGCCCTGCTCCCCCACCTGCATCTGTGAAACTTGAATCGTGTTTCTTATCTCCAAATCACCAGAGCTCAGCTGGTACCTGATACACAGGCTTTCAGGATGCTGAGTGCCCAGAATGGGTTGGATTTGAGCAGAAAGCTACTGTGGAGGGGAGGCTTTTGGAAAGGCCACCCTAGCCATGGTTCAGATGGGAAATACCTTAAGGCCAGAGTTCTTCTTAGAAAGGAAACCCAAAAAAAGGCAGTGGTGGTAAGGGACCCGAAGGAAGCTCTCCACCGGTCCTCCCATGGCTAGATGTGTGTATTCTAGTTTGTTGTTTGCCGGTATGACTGGCCTTTTGATTGCAAGTCTGAGGAAATGATCTTGCTTTTTCATCCCTGGGTCCCAGGAGCACCTCCTACAGTGAGAGCTGGCGCCCAGGAAAGAGCCATTCAGCTCCTGGGAATGCTGTCCTAGGCGGGCCTGTCAGAGGCAACACACAGGCTTTCTCAGAGGCAGAATCATTCCAATCCAGAGCAAGTAACTAGGGAGAGTTGGGCTGCTCTCGGGTCCTTAATCTGGCCTTGCTCCTGGGCTCCTCCCAGCTTAGTTGCCTGAAACATCACTCTAAACCAGTTTCGCTCTGAGCCCCAAGAACACTCTCTGCTCTGTCACACTCAGCCTGGCGGTCGGCTTGGGCCTTCACGCTGTTCTGACAGGATTCCCTTCCCGGCGCCTCAGTTCTGCCGTGGACACTCATTCTCCACCAACGCTCACTGGGGGACAGCCACGGTGCAGAGCACGGCCAGGACTTCCTAAACCCTGCTGCCGAAGAACTCCCCTCACTCACTCCCTCACTCACGTGCACTCTTCCCTCTTGCGTTGTTTATTCTGTGACCCCGATACATTGGCCCTCTCCAGGGATGAGGATTTATGTGTCCACTTTCTCGAACTCCTGAGAACTAAAGCATCTGGCAGCTTTAAGGACGTGGTCATGGGGGACCCCCATTCACGGCATAGACTGACAGCCTGATCACCAGTCACCTAATCCAGAACCTCCCTCCTCAAGGAGCCTGGGAGGCTTATCTGGCCTCCTCTGGAGGGAGGATTGAGTTGTGTGGTCTTCACTTTCCCTGGCTGCTCCAGCTGTCCAGGACTCCAAGTGAAGCAGAACATCATCTTCTTGACCCCTCAAAGTGATCCTAGACTAGGGGTCAGCAAACTTTCTCTGTAAAGGGCCAAATAACAAATATTTAGGTTTGGCCTAAAGTATGATAAAGTTTCTGATGCAACTACTCTAATCTGTTGCCGTTACGTAGAAAGAGTTGTAGACAAGAAAATGAGCAGGACTGTATTCCAATAAAACTTTGTGGACACTGAAATTTGAATTCCATGTAATTTCCATCTGTCATAAAATAGCGTCATTTTGATTTATCTTCATCATTAAAAAATGTAAAAATCCCCAGTAATCGGGGTTGCGTTGACTGTGGTTATCCGTGTGTGCATTAGATCTCTAGACTTACTTGTCCTACATTTGAACAACAACAAAAAAAGTAAAAATCATTCTTGGCTGGATGGCTGTACAAAAACAGGAAACAGGCCCTATGTGCTGCCCCCGTTCCAGACCTCCAGGTCAGACAGGTGAGTTCAAGTTCTTCCTTAACTGCTCACTGTGTAACCCTAGGCAAACGAAAGTTCTGAGGCCTAAGACTCATCTGCATAATGGAGATCTTATCTACTTTGATGAGAATTCGAAGTCAGTGCTTAGTGAACAGGAGGGACTCCTTTTGCAGTCAAGTTTCAGCCTGAAATGAGCATTTGATATGCAAGGTCAGAAGCAGCTTTCTCTCCACTCTGCCAGAGCCTATCACTGTCACCTAGGTGACGATTTCCAGGGCTCAGGGTACAGGTTTCTGTGTAAAATAGTTGAACATCCAAAGGTTAAGTGAGGACATTCTCCCTCAGGAGGTTCTGTGGCTCTGGAATATGCTGGCCCCACTGAGCACACGGAAGCCAGCCTTGAATGACAGGTCCCACCCTCCCTGCACAGAAAAGGCCACAGATCACAAAAAGACATTAACTGATGAAGCCTCAGGCATGGCATCCATTTGCTTAGAGACTAGGTTGATGCTGCTGACACTTTGGCCAAGATCAAAGAGTGGTAACTACACCCTGTGCCGGCTTTCCATGGGGGTGGGAGACAGGGTGCCCCTCCAGCAAGTCCTCATTCTCCCCATAGGTGGCTGTGACAGTAACCTGAGGCAGAAGTGACTTCGATCATCTCTGCAGCTGCCACAGCTCTTCTGTGGTAGGGGTGTTTCACTGGGGTGGGTTCTCCCCCAGAATCACTATTGGTTCTTGTTGCAGATTATCTAAAGGCAAGCAGAAATGTTCTGAACACTCTACTGCGTGTTCTTTTTCATTTAGAAATGTATCTGTTTGTATATAAAACAGTAGTTACCCCTTGGTAGTGAGGAATGTAGGATTTCTCTCCCCCCGCCCCCAAGAATATGTATAACATTACCTACAGAAATCTA